GGCATATACAGATATTATTTGAGGTGGCAGGGTAGGGAAGGACCCAGATAATCAGAAAAAGCTTGAGAGGATCAGGACTTTAAAAGTCAGAACTCAAACTGTGAATTTTTTTTTGAGATTTTATAATCAGATTTTTCATTCTTGTTACTTCTGGAAAGCTATTCCTCTCACTCTCATAAACAAGTACAAATCCCCAAATTCTGAGTTCTTAAGATATTAGCTAGAACATGGGCTTTGAGACAGATCTGTACCTGCAGCCTGGGTTGCTCCATCCACTCCTGATGTTCAACAGTCACCTTGAACCTCCTTCCGGCTCCTTTAGCGACAACTCCATTCTATCGCTTGCTGGACCCAAGAATCTTGGGTCCTTCTTGTCTCCTGGCCTTTTTGTTTTACACCCCTGTCCAATCTGCTGGGAAATCCTATTGGCTATACCTTCAAAATATATCCAAAGTGTACTACTCTTATTGCCACCTTTTAGCCATAATCGTCTTTTTCCTGAGTATTACAATATCCCCTCTCTTGTTCGCCCTTGTTTTATCCTGATCACGTCAGTCTATTTCTAACACATCAGGAAGATGAGGCTGTTCAGGTGTACAAGGAAGATAGTGTCAGAAACCTCCAGCTCCTTTTCAGCTCCCTAAAAGGGTCCTTACCGGGGCTTTTTGAGACATAGGTGCTCTGGCCCCGTTACCTGCCGCATTTCCCCCCACTGTCCTCCTGCTTAACCTCGCTCCTGCCACCCTGGGCTCCCTCCTCACCATCACGGGTACACTCCTGCCTCAAAGCCTCTGCTCTTGCCCTTCCCTCTGCCTGGAAGGTTCTCCCCGCAGATGCACACCTAGCTGGCTCACTGCATTTCTTTGTATCTTTGCTCCACTGTCACCGTCTCAGTAACACCTTCCCTGATCGTTCTTTCTAAAATTGCCCCCTCCCCACCCCAGCCTATCTTCCTCTCCCATTTTATTTTTTCCTCTGTGATGCTCATTGCGTTCAATGCACTTTATGTTTTACTTGCTTATCTGGTTTATCATCTGTCTGCCCACTGGACTGTGAGCTCCACGAGGGCAGGGATTTTGGTCTGTTTTCTTCACTGTGGCATCCCCAGTTCCTAGAACAGTGCCTGGCTTATTGAGCTGCTCCATCAATATTTATTGAATTGAATTAATCCTAGAGCTGGAAATAAAGCTGGGCTCTCCCACTTAATAAGCTGAGTGAATACGAAAAAGACATTTAACATCTTTGAGTGTCTGAAATACATGAGACTGTGCTTGGCTTACAGCAGATTTCAATAAATATTTATTCCCTTGCCTTCTCCCAATTTGGGTAGTGGCAACAAGCATTTTGAGATGCTAGAAAAGTGACAGCCAAGTGCAAGGAAATTCCTTTTCTCACTTTATTTTTCTACTCTTTTCCTCTTTACCATTCATTCTCTTTTGATTCCTTGTCCTCATCCTTTTTCTTACTGAGGCTGCTGAAATAATGCATATCATGTGGAAAGAATGGTGGAGGACCCCAAGCTAGCAGTCATAACTGTTTGAACGTAAGAAAGGGACTTGCTCACTTAGACATCAGCCCAGTGTACTGCTGATGGGAAAGAGTCCAGGGATGGATGCTGGAACCCAAAGCTGTTATAAAGGTGCAGTCTTATAGCAAACTTGACAAGTTTCTCTCTGTCATTCTGGAGAACACAGGAAAGGTATTCAGGAGCTGGACAGTATCCAAAAAGAGGCATTTAAAATAATTCAGGTGATTAGGAGAAGGAATTGCTGTGTGAAACCCTCCCTCTCTGCTCCTGCCCCACCTCAACACCCCAAAAGTGTGACTCTGGAGCCTGAAATGGTGAAAATGCGAAAGGAAGTGTAGACAGCCAACCCTTCCATCGCAACTGCACATGCCAGGCTCCGTGCCGTGCAGGTGACATAGATTAACCTATTTCATCCACAGGTATCCTGCGAGGTGGGTATGATGATCAGACTCACTTTACAGGTGAGGACATCAAGGCACAGAGAAGATAAGTAATTTTCCCAATGTCGTACAGCTGGTAAGTGGCAAAGCTGAGATTCACTCCTCAGCAGATGACAAACAAGCAATAGGACTTAATGTCTCAAACAGTCAAACTGATCACAGGAATGTAGACTTGATCATCACACCCTAGACCTGCTCATGTGTCCTGATAAGCTGTCACCCTGGGTACTGTCTTTTGGCCAAGCTCTGCTCCGTGCTCTGCAGCCTGGCCACCATGTGGTCTATCAGCCCAGGAGGGCAGGGATTGACCTGAACAACCTTTGCTGCTTCATCTCTCTGTCCAAATCCTGTGAGAGTCCCATCAAATCTCAGCTCCTCAATGAGACTTTGCCTACCAATGCCATCCGGTGCTTTATGTTTCTGCTGCCTGTCCATCTGTATGTTTGTTGGCTATACCATCCAGTTTGACATGTGTTTAACTTTCCTTCAGCACTCAGTACAGTTGGCATTTTTTGCTGCCTGTTTCTTATCACGTGTGTCTAAGAAGAGAGTATATCCTTCTAGTCGAGGACTGTTTCATGTGCTTCCTTTATGTTCCGTCTCTCCCTTCATGTGCTAATAGTGTCCCACTAAATGCTCGCTGACTTGAAGACTTCACGGCTAATCCATGAAGACTGAGTTATTGAGAGAACTGTGATGCTGTGGTGACATCTGCTGTGTGCTACTTATGAGCCTGGGTTTGGAGGCTGACAAGTATGGATTCCCATCCTGGCTCTGCCAGTTCATCTCTAGGTGGCCCTCCAGTGTTACCTCCATATCATCTGTCTCCTTATCGGGAGATGAGGGCTGTAGTGAGGGTTGGCCTGAAAAATATATGAAAAGTTCCTTAGGAAAGTGTCTAGGAAGATGTCTGGCATAAAGCAAGTGCTCGATAAACAGTAACATTTAAGTTGTTTTTATCCCTAAGCTTCCACGTTTATGTCAAGGAGAGCAATGAACTTCCGGAACGTGTTCCCTGGTGAAGTTGTCTGAGACTTTCTGGACCATGAACCTGTCCCAGCACAGCATTTCAGATGACCTTATATTACACGGGATTGTGGGTTTTCATCCCTTGAAACTATGGGATACACGTACTAAACATTCAGGACCAGAGTCCTCAGGGTTCTATGGAGAGGCTGTCAAAATGGATGGAAGGGATAAAGTGAAGACTTCGATTATTTTCTGATTGTTACTTTTTACCTGGCCTTCCTTTGTTTCTTTCCTCCCTCTCTTGCCCTCTAACTGTGAAGGCTTATCACGAAGATGAACTGAAAGATCAAGGAAATTTTTTACAGACGTAGGTATGTCATATAGACATTTTATAGTTTCTTTCAAGTCTTCAACACTTAAAACTTGTTTACTGCTCTTAGTGAAACATCGCTGGCTGATTCCTGTTGGCTCACCCTGTATATTTTATATTCATAACACGAGGCAAAACCATCTATTAAAATGTTGACTATTTATTCAGACTTTCAGATGTGGGTTCTTAGATTCTGAATCACAATTACTAGAGTTGTAAGTTAACTTTTGACTAGTGAATTCAAAGATCATCTTTCATTGCTCGTATTTTTCTTTATTTCATTGGTTCCTGGTATGTGTCAATTATGGAGATGGAGAAATCAGTAAGATATGGGCCCGTCCCTCAGGAAGCTTACATCTACTGACAATATGATCTGCTGAGCCATGATGATCCACTGTTACAGAGTATCTGGGTTTCCAGTGATGCATTTGAATACTGTCCTCACTTACACCACCAGGGAAATTTTTAATCGGCCAAAGGGGTGCATGTGTTTGTGTGTGTGTATTCATTGCCTCCAAACAATTTTTTGATGCTCTAGACAACCTTTTAAAAAAGTCCTCAATTCCAACTTATGGTTTTGGCAGATATGTCTACTGGGGTTTCCTACAATGTTTTGTATTACAGTATCATAGGCAAGGTTATTAAAATTTCTTAGTTGCTTCCATAGTTCTGAAATAAAAAAGTCTTCTTATACCTCTTGAGTATTCTTTTATAAACTAATTCTTTTGTTCTCAGGAAAAAACGTAGGATAGATAAATACACCTATAGGAAAATTTAAAGACTGGTCTCTCACATAATTGAAATCACTTTATCCAGCTGATATTTACTACTGTATATGTTTTAATAATGTTTATTTGGTTTTTCGTTTGTTTTCTAGGTTATACATGTTATTTGCAATTAATGACGATGAAAACTAGGTATTTTCTAAACTTTATTTCTCTCACTTATGTTTTCTGTCTCGTTGCGTTGTACAGGACAAGGGTTTTCAGCCTCAGCACTATTGACATTTGGGGCTGGATGATCATTTGTTGTGGGGCTGTCCAGTGCAGCATAGGATGCAGCATCCCTGGCTTCTGCTCAGTAGATACCAGTAGTTCCCCAAAGTTGTGACCAGCAAAAATGGTCCAGACAGTGTCCAATGTCCCCTGGGAAGCAAAATTTCCACCTGTTGAGAACCACTGGTCGAGAATTTCCAGAACACTGTATCATGTTAACAGTGATATAAACGTCCCTAGTCTGCTTCTGATTTTACGAGGAATAATGCTTCTGATGTTTCTCCATTAAAGGTATCAGTTTAACATTGGTAGTCTCTGTGAAGTGAAGGAAATAGAATTTGACTCTAATCTAACAATTAATAAAATGTAAATTTGAGACGAATATTGATTAGTGATCATGTAAGATAAATTCCTTGTGGTCAAAAAGAATTAGTACAGTTCAGTGGACCCTTTAGGACCAAAGCTGGGTGGGGAGTGTGTGTGTGAAGGACTTGGCTAGGGAGTGTTTGTTGTGTAACTCTTGATTCTAGACACTTGATCATAGAAGCAGACGCGCATCTGTGCTAAGAGAACACAGCCAAGGCTTCTGCACAGTGAAGGGAAGGAAACCAAATACTGGATTATTGCTGTAATTGAGAAATAGCCCCTTGGTATTTTGAGGTCTTTAGCTACTCCTTTCAAATGACAATTTATAGCTCTTTCTGTTTTTCTGAACTAATTTTATTAGGCTTCTGCTTTCAACATTTCAAATACAATAACGAAGTTGAGAGTCCCTGTTATTAGCTTCCAGTGGCCTTGAGAAGTCGGCCTCTGTGGCCAAGGTGATGATGCCGGCTGATTTGGCGGGGAGCTAGGAGGTCATGTTCAAACCTTCACAAACAGACTGGGGTAGAGGCCACAGACAGACGGTGCAGGTGAGAGGAAGCATAAATTCTGCGCCTTAGCTGCCCAGACTCCACTTGGCCTGAAGGGCCTCCCTCGGTGGGGGGCTCAAAGGCCCCCTGGGCTGGCGGATTTATGTCAGCAAGACCCGCGCAGTGGAAAGAGATTAAGAACGCTTTCAAAGGGCGCGGGAGCGGGTCGCTCCTCCGTCTGAGCTCAGTCTGTGAGGACCTGGGCTGGTGCCAGCGAAGGGAGTAGGGCCGGCCTGAGGAATGGAAGGTCACTGGCCAATTGGGTGTTGCGATAATTATATCCTTGTTTCCTTGAAGGTACCAGCGTCCTTGATTTTCCAGCTTCAAAGAGAGCTGCCTCTGAAGTAGGCGGACGTTCACACCTGCTCTGCCGCAGTGATTCCTGCCTTCCTGGCCGCAGACTCAACAAGACAACAATAGTTCTGTGGACATTTTCAAGGCCACATTCAGAAACCAGGCAAGGGAAGCTTCTCTTCCACCCTTTTCTCCTAAAGGAAAATGTAAAGGTTAGCGCATCCTGTGAAATTCAGCAGTGAAGCCGATGTCATGGTTTTACCTAAAGTTCAGATACTTTGGAGGTTAGGCACTCGAAACCATCACCCCACCACTCTCACCCTCTCTCCCTCCACTTCTCACCCCTCCCCAAAGTGACCATCACAGGTCTATCACAGAAGTCTGGTAATCACTAGAGGTGTCAGTATACAATACACCTGGGATGGTTTTTTTTAAATCTTTTTTCTATCCCATTCATCTCCAGACAAACTGCACCAACAACAGTTAGAAGTACAAGCATAGTTCTACCTTCCGTATTTTCCTTTAGCACTTAGATTTTCCTGAGACCTTTTGAGAAGAGAGAGAGGTACTTATTTTTCTTAAACAGGACCCTGTTTGTCTACTGGGTGCAATGAATAGGATCTAAAAGTAGGATTTCCACTGACTAAATATATATTTGCTGCCTCCCACCTCAGCTTTTCACTGATCATCTGAACCCTCCCATCATTAAATGCGCAAATTTAAAACCATATTTTGACTAATAAATTCCCTTTGTTAAGGATGAGATGACTGGTTTCTGGCACTTCAAATCCTCACAAGAAGTGGACTGGATATTACACATAACTCCCTAAATTCTGAGCTCTGATGTCTCTCTGTTGTTGCCATCAGCTTCCTTCTCCAGGCAAAAGCAGGTGCTGGTCAAAACCGGGGAAGTAGAAAGAGGGAAATATTGTCTATTTTTGAAGCTAGTTCTTGTTCTGACCCTTGACAGTGATAAATAGTGGTCCCATATACAAATATTCCCTAACTCTTTTTAATTTTTGCTCTGAGATTCTGCAAATATACACTGTTATGTTTATGAATTCCCAGTTTAGTGCCATAAAAGTAACTAGAGGCTTTCTTCATTGAAACATGCAGTCTCTCCCCCTCACCCCTCTCTGTCTCTCTCGCTTCCTCCCTCCCTCTGCCCTTCTCTCTCTCTCCATTGTACTATGAGTTTTCTAAGATCAGGAATAATGGCTGCTATGATACCTGGGGGAAGCAAAAGCTCTGTCCTCCAAAGTCTGCTCCTACCTGTCCCTTGGGACCCTGGGATTCTGAGCTCTTGCCTGTGATTTAATAATGAGACCCAGCGGGGCAGCCCAGGTGCTGTATCTCATACCCTTGCAGATTGCCAAGGGAACATTTAATCTGTTGACTTTATTCAGTTATGCTAGTCTGGCCAACGTACCTGGAGCTATAAATTATTTAGATGTTTAATTTATTTGGTGTAGAAGGAACTCTCTTATACCTTAGTTATCTAATAGCAGAAGATGAAAAACCACTTTGTTTGCAAATCATAAAAACTTTAACAGACTTGTGCCTTAAAGAGAAAAAGAGACTTCACTGACCTTAAAAGTAAAACAGGGATCCAGACAAGCATTGTTAACACATTATTCCCGAAGATAAAAATTATGGTATAAATTCCTTCGGATTAGAAGTGAAATGTGAAACAAATGTCTTCCATTGGATGTGAACAGACATCTAGTCTGAAGTGAACACAAGTATAAACTGTCAATGAGGGGTCAGGAGGGGCATAGCAGGGGTCCTTGTGACAATGTCCCTCTCCTCCGTCACAATGAACTACCATTATAATGACCCAGGGGAGGGAGATATTTTAAATGGTAGGAAATATGATATAACCTAAACTCTATTAGTACACAAAATTACTACCTAATAGTGAAACATGTCATTGTTCTATTTATTCTTTGACCTTGTACTTAGCACATTTCATTAAAATAGAAACTCAGTACATGTTTCATTAAAAGAGAAACAAATAGCAAAAATACATTATCTTGTGGAGCAACCACTGTCACATCAGATTAGGTCCCCTACTGTCCAACTGTCTCATCCATTTTCTTGATGAAAAAGGGTTGATTTGAAGCAAAAATAAACATAATCTTTAGCAACACAAAAATATAAACAATCAAGTGCAGAAGTACTTTGTAAAGCCTTTTCTTTTATAACTGCTTTGTTTTAAAGGTACTTCTGGAATCAGGTGACATTACTGGGCTTTTATTTATCATCAGCCAAATATTTAAACGATTTCCCTTTCTCAGCGGCAGAGTTTTTAGCCAAGAAAGCTTTTTCTGCAGACCAGCAGCCTGGGTTTGAATTCTTGACTTTTATTAGCTCTGGGCCATTGGATAAATTATTTAACTTCTCTGGGCTTCAGTTTTCTCATTTGTAAAATAGGTATATTATCTTCCTAACGGGGTTCTTATGTGATAAACTATGTAAACCAGCACCTGACATAGAGGAAATGTAAGTGTCTAATTATTGCAAATAATAGTTTACTATGTGCTTTGGATTCACTTCCTAGTGTCCGTATAATAAACAATTCAATGAGGTAGTTATTCCACCGTTTTACTGAAGAGGACATTTACTCCTAGATCCAGAGTTAAGCAGATCCAATTCGGACTCAGGTCGGTAGGTCTCTGGCAGATTCAGATTCCTGGCAGCCAACTCGGAGATTTTGGTGGAGTGTGCTCAGGGGGGACATCTGTGGGCCGAGGGAGGAACTGCACTGTGATGCAATGTGAGCGGCCACAGCAAAGGCCACCCTACAGGCAGGAGCTCTGGCACTGGCGTGGCCCTTCAGAGTTGGACCTCATTGGGCCAAGAGGACAGCCGTCTAACCTGCCCCTTCACAGAATCTGCAGTCCCTGGAATGTAGGCTGCTCCGGAAGTGGGTGTGGCTTTGAGCAAAGCAGCTCTATCCAGCCAAAGGCTATCTCCAGAGAGGGTCTCAGCTGAAGAACCGGCAGCAGCCAACACTCCCTGCAGCTGGGGGCACAAGCGCTGCAGTTTCCAGGAGGGAATCTGAGCCGTGGATCACGGGGTCCACACCTCCTGCGGCTCGGAGGGTGTTCAGGGCCATCTCATGGACCATGGCGGTTGGGATCACTGCTGCTTCTGCCCAGAATCTCTCAGACCCCATTCATGTTGGGAAGTCCAGGAAGCACGTGGATGGACTGTTTCCATGAACTGCAGAAGGTGCTTGGTGACTTGAAACAGCACAGCTGCTGCTAACCAGCATCAAAACCAAGTAAACCACCCATAGGTCCTGCTGCCACGGTTTTTATTCTCTGTACAGCTGACTGTAAGACTGATCACTTAAAAATGGTTAAATAGTCCCAATTTTTAGAAGTGTTTAAATAGACCCAATTTTAAAAATCTTTTCTTCTAGCAAGCGTTTTTTATGGTGTTTATGTCATGATCTATAGGCTAGAACCACAGAATTTTAAAACCGGAAGGGGCCTGAGAGATTCCGCTCCTTCTTTTGCGTTGGGTTGGGGGAGTAACTCAGTCAAGGTCACATAGCGAGTTAACAGTTGCACACAATGGGATTGGGACCATAAGCATGAAAATTGATATTCTCAAGTAGAGTCTAGCTGTTTGCCAACTACAAAGAAATTATAAAAACAAATTCTTGGCTGAAAACTTGAAAGGATAGGTTTGGAATGTTATCTTAATGCACACTACAATCTTGAAGTTTCTTGTCATATCCTAGATAAAGTACTGTGTTTATATTTTATTCATTTCCATGCAAAATGACTTCTAAAACTAAATGCCAAGAATTCTCACTGACATTGTACGGGTTGCATTTTGTTGATTAAATTTTTGTTATTTTAATATTTTAAGATTAAAACACTCTTCTACTCCTAGCACATTTTTTTCTCCATATAATTGATACAATTACATAAATACATAATGGTGTTGGCAATCTTTGAATAACGTATTTTAGACTTGAGAGCAGAGTCTTATCTTAAAATTACTTTCAGAAAACGTATCAGACACATGGAGCTGTCAGGTTTAAGACTATACCACCAATTTCATGTTAACTTATTATTGCAATATTCTCTGGCACATCAGTAACCATGAAGACTAGTGCTCAGCGAAAAAAAAAAGAAAAAATTTAATTTTTCATTACCTCCACAGTATACTACCTGGCTAGAGTTAGACATTTAAAAATCCCATGTGATTGTTCAGCTCTTCAGAAATGTTAACCCTTAAATTTGCAGCAGAAACACCTACTGAACAGTATTTGACTGTAAGAACAGTGGCAATTTAGAATTGAGGTTCAGAGCACAGACTGAAAATCCATACTACTTGGCGGTCAAAGCCTAGCGTCACCAGCTGTATGACTTTGTGCAAGTTACTTACTCTCTATCAAGTGGGAATAGTGTTAGTACTTGGCTCTTGTGGTTGTTGTAAGGACTGTAAAGTGCTTAGAACAGTGTCTACACACAACAGTGCTCAGTTGATGCCATATTATTAGAAATTGCTTTTTAAATTACAGAGGACTGAGACTTTACAAGGAAATTTAAAGATGAAAATTTTTAAACTAGATACACCTAAGAGATCATGTTCAATTTTCAGTTCTTACAATGGAGCTCTTAGGGGTAACAATCATCAGCCTAGTTAGACTATATGTTTAGATTCTAGACTTATTCCACAACCTGATATACATAATAATGAAACAGTAAATTCCCCATTTTTAACTAGAAGAAATTTGATTCTGGAAATCAAAGAGCCATGTCCTAACAGTGAGCACTGGAAAATCATTCTCAGCTGGTAGCTCCATGGAAGTGGTGACTGTGCCAATCTTGTTCACCAGTATAGGCCCAGCATTTTACACACTGCCATCTGGAAGGAACTGAAGACATACAGAACGACTGATTGACTATAAGAGGCAATGCCCTTTAATTCATAGAATTTTACAGTTAAAAGGGGGGTCAGGTGCTAATGATGTCACAAATAAGGAACCTGAGGATAAATGACTTAGACCTAATTATGTGGTTAGCCTTGACTAGAACCTGGATCCAAGATGCTGACTCTAGGCCTTGGACACTTAAATAAATCAGTGTCTTCAGTAATATTTTTCCATATGTTCTTAGAAACACCAGTCTCTTGGGATATTTATTCATAAAGAGTGGAAGGAGTTATTCTGTGGACAAATAATTTGAGGAAATGTGGACTTAAACCAATTAAACTGGATCTCAGCATGCCTGAAAAGGGTTTGGTCATAAAACCCCTTTGGAAGGGAGCATCTTTTGGAATTGATGGTCTATGAAACACACAGGAGAGGACTGACCAATAAACTTGAACAGATACTTACCACGCACCTACTACATGCAAGTATCATGATAGGAACTATAAAAAAAATTAAGGTGAGTTAGACACCAAAGAATTCCTGGGGCACTTAATAAGAGAGGATAAGAGCAGTGGCAGAGGCTAGAGGGTGTTACAAAAAAGCACATATAACTTCAGTCTATGTCTGCATTTTGTAAGTGTCATGAGAAAGGCTCAAATAAAATGCAACCGGGATTCAAAGGTCAGCATTCCATGGAAGAAATAGCATTTGAGATGAATCCTGAAAGATGGATGTGAGTTCCTTCAGAATTTTTTGTCTGAAAATGACTTTGTTGTGCTCTCATTCATGAAGTGTAGCTTTTCTGGATATGCAATGGACTAGTTATTTCCCTTCAACACTTTGAATAGTTAGTTATTCCACCGTCTCCTTGAGGCCACTCTTACTCTTGATCAGCCTGAGAGTCTAATCATTAGTCACTTGCAAGTGATCTTTCTTTTCTCTCAGGCTGCTTTGAAGATTTTCCCAATGTCTTTGGCATTCTCCAGTTTCCCTACAGCATGTCTGAAGCATAAACTTCCTTTTAATTTATCCTGCTAGGGATATGCTGTATTTCAGTTCTGAGAATTTCCCAGCTACTGTTGCTTCAGATATCTTCCATTCTCTCTGTCCTCTACTTCCAAATCTCCAATTCAGTTTATGTTGGAACTTCTCATTCTATCTTCCATCTCTTTAGAGTTCTCTTACGTATTTTCCATTTCCTTTTTTCCCCTGTGCTACATTCTGGATCTTTTCTTCAGCTACTTCTTCAATTCACTAATTATTTCTTCAGATATTTAACATGTTTATGAAATGTGTACTTTCAACCATTTTGCTTTTGTTTCTTTTTTATTCTTTTTCAAATCGACCTGGTCATCCATGATGATCTCTTGTTGCTTGCTTATCTTTGGTATTTCACTCCTTATGTCTTTAAATGTGTCATATGCAGACATTCTATGTTAGAAAGTTAACAAAATGTAGTGGTGAAGACTCTAGAATCAACTGCCTGAATCCAAATGTCACTTAAGAAATGTTGACCTGGAACAAATTACTTAATCTCTCAGCGTCTTAGCTTTTTAATTTATAAAATGGGGATAGCAATGGTACCTGTTTCATAGAGTCATTTTGAGAACTAAGTTAAAATTTGAAAAAAAAAATCTTTACAATAGTTCCTAGCAGTTAATAACTGCTCTATACACTTTTATAAATGAAAACATATATATCCAAAGTTCTTGGAGTCTGAGCTGGATGCTTTTTTCCCCCTGACTTACTCCCTCCTTCTGTGCCTGGTGACCTTGGATTTAAACTCAAATTTGGTGGCTCTTAATGGCTTTCCTACTGTGAGGATTTGTATTTGCTTTGGTTAGGAGGCAGAAGGAAAACATCAATTTGAGACACTTCGCCCCTTTTGGAGTGTCCTGGCCTAAAGCAGGAGTTTCAGACTCATGGCTTCCCCACCTTCTGATGCTTTAGAGTTCTTTCACTGCTACTAATGGCACTGGCCCTTAAGACAACCCAAGCTTCTTATTTTCTTAGCACTCTTGGATCCCAGTTCTGGTTTCAGCTCATATTTGAGGATAAGAGCTGTCTCTAGACAATTCCTTAACTACTTACAAGCCCAATAATTCATTTAAAAAGTTATCCAGTTATTTTGTAGTTGGAAGGCCTTCAGAGTGTCTAGTTATCTATACTGCCAGAAGTTACCTCCTGCTTTTTATCAGTCAGAATGGGTTACCTTGTCCTGCAGCAACAAACAACCTCAAGTGGCTTTGGAAACCAAAGGTTTATTTCCCATTTACACTACATGTCCCTCCCAGGTCAGCAGGGCCTCTGCTCCATATGATACTTACTCAGGGGTTCAGGCTGATGGAGCTTTGACCGTCAGGAAGATCACCAATCCTGTAGCAGGAGAGAGAAAATATGCTGAATCTTACTCTGGCTGTTAAGGGGCTTCCATCTGGAAGTGACACACATCATTTTCATTCACTTTCAATTGACCAAGGCAAGTCTGAGGGTCACCTAACTCCAAGGAAGTGCTCAGGAACACCACTAACAATTACTAACAATTACTCCATGCTTTTTTCACCTAACATTATAAACTTTTTTATGTTCTTATATAGACGTGGTAACTAATTCTTTAAATGTTATTATGACAATCTCAAACATAAAAAATGTAAAAAGAATAGTATGATAATATAATAAATGCCCATAACTATAAATTTAAACATCTACATAATAGTTCAGAAGGGGAGAATTCAAATTTTATCATGAGATACTTCAAAGTTAGTACACTTAAAATGTTGAGACCTTTTTAATCATAAAAGTCATTTAAAACTTCTAAATATAGAAAAAGTAAAGAAGAATGACTAGAGTTTTAATAGGTGTGCATTCCAAATGGAAGAGAAAATACCAGCAGAGATAGTGAAGCAGGAGCATATAAAGAGGATTTGCAGAAAGCATGCAGTTCAGCTAAATGGTAACCTTATCACAGAGGGCTCTGAATGCCAGGCTGGAACGTCATTCAGTAGGGAATGGAAAGCCACTGAAAATTTTTAAGTAGAAAAGTAACATAAATTTAACCCAACTTTTATTGAGTTATCTACTATGTAGCAGGTACTGTAGCAGGTAATATAATAGACTCTGAGATATAAAAAATGAATAAAACACAAACCTCATTATCTAGTAACATGATGGAAAATTTTTCCAAGAAGATTGATCTAGATCATTGTAGGCGGGCCCGACACCATTGTGAAGGAAACTTAGAGGCTACTGCAATAGTCCAAGCAAGAATTCAAGAGCACTAGATCCAGAGGACTAGCAGCGGGGATGGAAAGGAAAAAGTGGTTTGAGAGATCTTAAAGAGATCGAGTGTGTAGAATGTCCTAATTATCCAGATGTGGGGAGCAAAGGAAAAGGAAAAAACCTAGAGATCATTTGAAGATTGTAAACATGGAGGACAGGGAAAATAATACCATTAACAGAAATAGAAACACCAGGAAAAGGGCTTGGTTTAAGGGGGAAATGATAACTTTGGTTGTATACACATTGAATTTGAGATTCCATGAGTGTATCCTGGTGGAATTACCCAGCAAGAAGTTGGATATACAGAACTCAGGGTATGACAGGGGTTAAGGGGTAGGAGAGACTCAGAAATCTGAGTCCTTGGCACAACAGCAATAGTTTATACCATTTGCAGAGATAAGATTGCTAGGTAAGAGAATGCTGCAAAATCTTTTTTAAAAATTGCCTGATGAACATGTGAAAATCATATGATTCATCCTTCTAAGAAAGTGAAGCACAAAACTATTTCTCCATCCAAAAGTCTTGTCCTGTCATAATGAATGAAATTCCATCCTTACAGATCCATTCCTTTGTGTCTTAGAAGCTTTTTAGTTTCCAGTGTCTCCAGTTACAATATGGATGCCCCCAAATACTCCTTAGGCCTTGATCAGACAGTACCTTACCTGGCGTGGGTTTACCAGGGGCCTTCTAGGCTAGCTGACAGAGGTGGAACCCAGGGTTGGCATCAGGTTGGGGTGGTGTGGGGGTCGAGGGCTACTCAGGAGATCAGGGAAAAGGGGCAGGACTCTGAATGGACAGGGATCTGGTACCAGAAAGAACCTCTGAGGTTGTCAAGTGTCTCCTAGGGCCCAGCCATAGGACACGCACATGCACAACCACCCACCCACTCACCGACCCACACACACTCGTGTTTACCAAGTGTGTACACTGGGAATTTGATATCAAAAGTTCAACGTAGACAAGTTACTTGGTGTGATCATTATGATGTTTGTGTGGCAGGATGGTTGACTAAAATATTAAATTGCTTCCTTTCAAACAGACATGCAAACTTGTAGTGCTTTGTCTGGAAAATTTGGGCCAGGCAAAACATTGGATGCAGCCTCTCCTGGTCAAAGTTTGCACATTGCTACTCACTGCCACTGAATGTGTGAAAATGGTTACAGCTAAAGGATATATTGTACAATACAGGGAGTAGAGCCAGTATTTTATCATGACTATAAATGGAGTATAATCTTTAAAAATTCTGAATCACTATATTGTACACCCATAACTTACATAATATTGTACATCAGCTATACTCCAAATAAAAAATGGTTAAGATGGTGCATTTTATGTTATGTGATTTTTACCACAATTCTAAAAAAACTTGATTGGATTAAATACAAGTCACTTTCTTCTAAGGATTCTGGTATATTTATGCTATAACAAGAAATAAACATAACATTTATTTTCTTAAAAAAAAGTTTTACACTTTCAGGCACTGTGAAGGGTGTTCTAGAGAGGGAGGACAGAGGGTGGGGCCTCTGAGAAAGTGATGAGTCTGGAAGAGGAGATTTCTTGGCAGGAAAGAATGCAGAATTGTCTAGAGGGGATGTGCCCCCTGCCTCCTGGCGAAGCCCGGGTGGGCAGCATCTTGTGGGGAGGGGCTGCACTGGCTCTCAGGGAGTCCCGATCCCAGCCTCGCCAGAGCCCCTCCTGGGCCCTGGGTGAGGTACAGAAGTGCCTGCTCAGCCTGGAACCGAGGGAAGTGATTCAACATCTTTTGTACATCACTACTTATCAGCTCCCACAGCAGGCCATGGCATGTAGTAGGTGTCCAGGAAATATTTGTTAAGTAAGTGAATGTTGATGCTAAGGCAGGGCCTGATGCTGCATAAAACCTCTAGACTTCTGCCCCAGTCTGTGGATTGGAGAGAGGGAGGTGGTTACCTTCCACCCAAGCCTGCCAGGATATGGGGACTTGGAGTCAGAATCAGGTTGATTTAAGGAAAATCATAGTGACATCTTGTACACTTGATAGACAACTTTTTAAAACTATTTTCCTGCATCCTTTATAATACATTATTAATATATTTTATTTGCAAATAAGTTACACCTGCTAATATAACTAGTGGATAAAAAATTTTCAGCGTGTTACTCATGAACAAGGTAAGAGCTGTAATTCTCAAAGTGAAGGTACAAAAGCTTCAGATATCCTCCCCATGGGCAGCCTTGGGTGTGAGTTGAGTCTATGGGAAACCACCAGGGCGCCCCGCTTGCCTTACCAGGGCTTTGAGGCCATGGGCTGCAGTGGAGAGGTTTAGAGGGTGAACACAGCAGACTTGGGTTCCACTCCTTGCCCTGCCACCGCATGGTCTCAGGTAAGCCCTTCAACCTTCTCTGTAAAACAAACGCTGGGTTTACTAGTCCCTAAGACAGGGCTGAAGTTCAGCCTATATATACACTGGGTCTGGCCATCCCAGTAGCCACCAGTTGGTCAGGTAGCTACTATCCACTGGTTAAATAATTTGAATGTCATCCCAAGTCTCAGGTCTCTGCAGAAGACAGGGGTAATCTGGCTTCCCAGAAACAAAAGAATCACAGGAAATCATCCAAAGCATTAGCTTATCCTGATTATAAGCATTACTCCTGCTGACTCCAGGAGCAATTGCTACATGCCATATGAACTGACTTCTTATCACTGACTTGTGCTCCAATTTTCCATTTTCTAACCTCCTCTAAACCTTTTCTCCATTTACTGCAAAGTACTATTTTCTCTGACTTCAGAACATGCGGACACCTTCCCCACAGATGTGGAAAATAATGGGAGGCTTGAGCCCAGAGTATCTAAGATTCTTTCACGGTGCCTCACTGTTGCTTCTTGGGAGAAAACAAAACACAAAGAGAAGGCGCTGACAAAGCCAGGCAGCCAAGGAGTGGTTTGTGTTCTCTCATTTCGCAGTACCTTTGCCAACGTTGTGTCCTCTGCCTGGAAAGTCCTCTCTGCACCCTTTCTTCTGGTGGGCTTCTACCCACCCTTCAATGCCCCACCTATGGCTATTTTCCTCCCCTAACACTTGTACATCCCGCTGTTACAGAACTTAGCATTTTGTAACGTAAGTATTATTTATGTTTTCCTCCCAACTAGAACTCCTTAAAGGCAGGAGTTGGGTCTTGTTCTCTCTGTGCTTCATTACTCAGAACAACACCTGGCATAAAGAAGCCAGGTGTGCTAAAATGTCAATTGTGTCCCAAATAACACTAAGGTCCACCTCCCCACCAGCAGCATAACTAAGTGGACCAGGGATGAACATGAGACCCTTAATCTAGACAAGTCAGATTTCCTCACAGAATTTTGTACTTAGAATCATAAAAACTAGGAATCAGAAAGTGTGGCCGCTGGAAGATCATATAGAACTGACCTCCAAAAATCTGACCTTGTGACAAAAACTTGGGTGCAGGAAGTTTATTTGGGTGCAGGCAGCGCAAGTTCGGGTGGGGAAAGGGAGACAGAGAAAGAAGAAAAGCCAATGAAATGTACATTCACGAGCAGGTGACCGCCTTGGGAAACTGTGGCTTACTCCCTCTTTGGAACCCTCTGAGAAACCAGTGAGACGTGCCTCGGAATTGGTCCACTGGAAGACCCGGAAGCTGGGAATTTAGTGATTCCTCACCTCCACTGGGTGGGACTGCACATGCCTGCTGCCTGGCAAGCCCACTGGTGCAGGAGAAGTGCAGAGATGTGGATGCTTCAGGTGGGGAGTCATCAGTCTCTGGGAGGTCATCTTCCACCATCACATGTGAACTCCAAGGTGGGCCCGGGAATCTGGGCAGGACATCCACACCACCTCCTACAGTCACCCAAAGCCAAACAGAGCCTGAGTGATGGGGCTGCAGGGAGCATGCACCTGGCAGAGGGGCTGACCTGCAGTGGGGAGAATGTGGCAGAGAAGCAGAGCACAGTCACAGACAGAGACACGGAGCAGAGGCCTGGCCGTCACACCCACTCTCTTTAGTAGCAGACTGTAGGAGCCCACACTGGCACAGTCCTCATAGAGACATGACCCAGGTTTGCACACTGGCAATCACTCATCCATTCTCCCACCATAATTTCTTCCGGCTCCTGTTGGTCAATCCTTCTGAGCGGCACTGGCCTGTATGAGGCCCTACACAACGTCAGAGGACTCCCACCGATCCCCGCTGGCCCGCTAAGCTAGACCCTCTGCTAGAGCCAATGCCTTGGAGGATCGAGAGCCTCTGGAAAACCCGTATTCTAACATCCAGCACGATACTCTGCCTTTGATTTACAGTCGGTCCAGTATTATCACCTATGCTCCTTTGGTCAATCAAGCTGGGTCATACTGACTTCCAGGACACAAAAGCAATGGCAGAAAGGGAACCAGAGCAGAATAAACAACATACACGGCAAAACACATTCAACTCAGCTCACTGGCTGGAAGCAGCCCAGTACTGTGTGTTAAGAACAGAGTAGCTTCTTTGCTCTGGATCTCATCGGCTGACAGCAACTGATGACCCTCAGAAACTGGGGAGAAACTGTATGCACACCCACCGCAGTTTTATTTTGGAAAATATCTCAGCTATAAAAGCATTATAATGGATTGGTATTGAGGAGGATAGTACTGAATATTAAAAGTACTTTCTGGATTTGATTCTAAGAGGTTCCACTCTATCAACAGAAAATCTCTTTTCCTTAAATTAGCTCAAGAGGCTCTCTGTTCTTGCGTCGCCAGACAGTCCTATGCAAATAGTATGCCACCTGTTATTAGTCAAGTGTTATCCAGAGAGAGCCCAAAAGATGTGTGTCTATACATAGAGAGAGATGGTAAGGAATTGGCTGACAGGATTGTGGAGGCTGGCAATTCCAAAATCTGCAGGGGGAGTAGGTCATAGGCTGGAGACCCAGGGAAGACGTGCAGTTTGAGTTCAAAGGCAGCCTGGTGGCAGAATTCCCTCTTTCTTTTCAGTCTTTTTTCTATTAAGGTCTTCGACTCATTAGTGGACACCCATCCACATTATGAAGGGTTATTCACTTGACTAAAGTCTACTGATTTAACTGTTAATCTCAAATAAAATAATGCCTTCAGAGAAATGTCTTGAATATGTTTGACCAAATATCTGGTACTGTGGCCTAACCAAGCTGACACAGAAAATTAACCATCACGCCCCCCTCATCTCTGATCCTTAGCAGTGGCTGCCTTGAGGACCGTGTTGCAAACAATTTGAAGCCACACCCAGACTTAACAGGAAAGGATATCCTTATGAACTAGTAATGTCTGCCCTGAGCACAGGAGGTAGGAGAGGCAGCCTGTGTCACATATTTTCTATTCCCACCATAGAAGTTTGGTTTGTGTTTCCTGAAGGAACAAGTAACAAAGCTTGCTCATTTTGCAATTAAACCTAGGACTTGATTCAAGATGTGTTCAAATTAAGTTGTTTGACATCAACTAGGCAGGCTGAGCAAATTCTCATGCTCCCTATGTGTATGCACAAGAATGCTCCCCCAGCAGCTTCATTATCGACATCCCCAAGCTAGAAATAACTGGAATGTTCATCAACAGTACATGGGTAGATAAAAATGTGCTGTAATAAGTATGAACCACAACTGCATAAAGCCTAGATGACTCTTACAAACGTGAGATTGAGCAAAAGAAGCCAGACACAAAAGAACCAGGCGTTAATTCCATGTATGAAGCTCAAACACATAAAATTAGACTATATTCTATACAGATGCACATTTGGTTGCTAAATATTTATTTTAAAAAGTGTAGAAGTGATTCCCATAGAAGCTCCAATACTGGTTATCTCTAGGAGCTCAGGAGATGCTGGGGGGCAGAATTTGCAATATTATACTTCTTGACTTGGGTATTAACTTTAAAACAACACGTTAAACTGCCTTTTTCTGTATGAGTGTTAAACGTCACAATTAAAAGGTTTAATTTTTTTCCCCTAAGGTCTCCTTATGTCAATTCCTGAAAAAAAGGAAACACGCCTATGTGGATTAAAGAAAACTCAGCTAAAGTCAGAGTCAGTTCAGGCCTGCAGGAGGAGCTCTGACGCCCACCATGCATCCTCAGTTACCCCAAACAGGAAGAGACTACGGCTACATCTCTCCCACAAAGTGCTGCCTACTTCACTATCCAGCAGCAGGAAGGTAACTTCTCTCCCTGAAGGACAGCTGGCCAGTTGGAGACTCCAGCAGCTCAACCAATGAGAAGCCTCCTACTTTGGACTCCCAGCTTCCTCCAATGGCTCCTTAGTTATTACAGCCCCACCCAACTCTCTCCTTTTCCCTGTAAGAGCTAGTTTCCCTTCTTTGTTCCTTGGATTTGCCTATGGTCCGCCATAATTCGGTATCCTGAATTGCAATTCCTCTGGCCACTACCAAATAAACTCACTTTTACTGGTGAGATCACTGGCGCTGTTGTATTATTAGAGCTGACACAGGGGACCCCCAGACACGCTGTCCCAATCGCCATTCAGCCTCTGGCCAAAGAAGCCAGCACATTCACTCTCCACCCTACTTTCCCACTAGTGTCTACTTTGGACTCTTTTCTGTGTTTTGCTTCTTCCCCTAGAACAAACATCTCCATTTCAGTAGTGATTAGATTTACAATATAACAGATTTAACAGTTGAAAGCCCTAAAATTCATCCCCAGCAAAACTTGCAAAACAGCTGCAAAAAAGATGAATGCCACTCATGGGATCAAAAGCCTAGAAGGATTTCGTGGAAAAGTTCAGCAGTGTGTGCGTGCAAAGCCTATTCTAAGCAGAAGGCTCTGCTGGATGATAGTGCCCCTCTGTCTCCTTACGAGCTAGAAGCGCCTGGGATAACCGGGCTTGGGAAGGCTGCTGGTTCTTATGTAGAAATCCTGGTACAAAGGGCTGGCTCTCATGATCTGCCTTCCAGGATCCTAGGCTTAAAATTCAGAAGTCAGCTTCAAGAGAGTTAGAGGAAAGGCAAAGTGATTTTAAAGGCAGATGCTAGAGGTTGACTTTTCCTCTTTTCATAGCCTTTAGTACTTAGAAATTTGTAGTTAAATATGCCTTCTTCCCTCTGGAAAACAGATTTCCCCTCTCTCTCACCTTTGTCTGGGGAATAACAAATTTCATATGGAAATGAAAACCCATAGAGAAATATGCAATGCTTCAGACACCTCATGTCGGACTGGCTGTCACAGACCCTGGTTTGGGTCAGGCTGTTTAAGCTTCTTTGGAACAAGCATTTATCTAGTGCAGGGTCATTTTATAGATCCATTAAATCTACAATTTCTCTTGGGCTCCTTTCCGCAGTTCCCCTCAAGTCACACACTCTAAAAACCCCCTTAAGCTCCAGAAATAAATCTCTATAAACTGCCAAGCGTTCAATCAGGCTTTTTACTATATCTCTTTGCAATTAGAATAAATTTACTGCTCGGAGAGATGGGGGGAAATATGCAAGGTACTCCTTGGATAAATATACCGTGGTGAGAAAAGTAGAGACTCTGTAAAAATTATCTCTGTGAATTCAACAAGAATCAAGGTCACTGGAGCTGCTACATACCAGGGATGTTAATTAATGGGCCTGCAGCTGGTGGTACCACTTGGCCGCTCTGCTCCAGCTGCTTGCTCCATATTTCTCTCGTTTGTAGGACCATTCTTGGATCAAATCCCATCTCTTTTTTTCCTCCAAGTACAAAAAGTACATAAGTCTATCCTGGAAGGATGCCAACCTTTCAGAGAACTAAGGAAAGTGTTGTTTCTTAGCTATTTTTATCTCCTTTTTAAAGAAAGGTCACTCTATCACCCCTGGAGCTGGATTACTTGTAATCAGCATCCGAGCTGTGGTCTGAGGTCATTGTTCTGGCCCTATCCATGGGGAGGTGTCCTGAAGTCGGAGAGCAGAGATGGCACTTGTAACCAAATGCCCTCAAACTAAAGCGGAGACACCAGGAAAGATGCACCTATCTCTTCAGCACACCATCTGCATTTTAAGCCAGGGTGAGGGCAAGTTAAAAATGCAATCAAAAGCACTCAACGTCTCTAAGCTGGAGAGAGAGGGAGGAAGAAAGGAGAAAAGAAAAGAGTCTGATAGAAGTGGCAGAAATCATTTCCAGGGTAGTTTAGACCACTGAAATCCGCTGGGAAGCATTAAATGAGAGCAGGCATGTAAACCACTTAGCACACTTAGCTGGGACCCAGGCAGCTATTGCTAATTAAAATAAAATTCCAGAGTGTAGATAGAACAGGTGTGTACAGCAAGGGCCCTTCCCTGAACTGCCATGGGAGTGTATTTAGGCAGCATGTTATTCCAGTTAAAGCTGGACTTTGGAGTCAGAAAGATCTGGGTTTGTGTCCCTGATCAACCACTTAAGTAGCTGCAAAATCATTTGAAGGCTTAATTAGCACTTTAGACCTCAACTTTCTCATCTGTATAATGGGGCTAATAATAGAGTCTGCTTCAAGGCTACTGAGCAGATTTAATGAAATACAGCAGTAGGGACCTTTGGCACAGTGCTTGGTATGTAGTTAATCTCAACAAATATTCATTGTTGCAGCTAGGGCTCTTACGACTTTTCATAGGTCAGCAAGGAAGCATTAGGAAAAGTGTTTCAGGAAAACAGTTTGCCTCTCTGGGCAGGTGAAGACAGCTTCAGAAGAGCAGTTCTCCTGAAGCAATGAAAATGGTCCCACTTGCCTCCACTGTAACTGCTCTTGTTTTTCTTCTCATTTGGAAACTTTCTTTCCTTCAATGTTACAGAGTGAAGGGACTGGGCGTTCTTCCACACACTGACAGACAAGCGAATCTCGCCCAGAAATAACAGGGAAAACGCCTGACTCTGCTTCTTTAAGGAATTCTCCAGGTAGTCATTAGCCATACACGCCAGTCAGGGCCCTGGGGTGGCTGCGCCCACTCCCCCTGAGACAGGCAGGTTGTCTTCCACGCAGGCCAGCTCCTTGATGAGGGAGACCCAGTTTTACTGAGCCCTTTTTAGGGCGTAAAAAAAAAATTCTAAAAAAATTGGAAAATTTTCTACATTACTACTTCCAAACTGTAAAATGATATCTGGGCCTTTTTAAAAGACTTGGGAAATTTTCTGAAATTAAGGAATATGGATTTAAAGGAAGCCTTGGGGGATTAGATTTTTCCTTCTCTTTGATGCATCTGAAACAACTTTAATCTGCTTTCAGAGTGCTATGCAATTTGGCATGGCATTCTGGTAGCCTGTTGTTGCCTTCTTCCTGGAACTGATACTTTGGGCCCTTTTAAAACCCATTTGGAGAAATATTTAGGGTACAGGAAAAAAAAACTTGAATTTGAAAAACAAGACTACTGGCTTCTAAGATGCTTTGAAGAAATTTTAAAATTTTAATTTTGGACAAAAAAAAAAGTTAAACAAAAATCTAGTTGGCTATGCAGCCACAAAGGTAGGACTATTCAGATCTAATTTCCTGGTTGTTGGCCCTCCTGTCATATATATACGCAAAATGCAAAATACTGTATATACTCTCATGTAACAGCACTACTCTGGGAGCCAGGTATTATAATTCTTATTTTACTGACAAGGAAACTGGGGCTCAGGGAGTTCAAATTTTGCTTAAAGAAAATATAATATGGCAAGAACTTGAATCAGATTCTAGGTTTTAATCCCAATACTTTTTCCACAACACCCCATCACCTTTAACCTGCCATGTGCCTAGGCAGCTCTAGTCAATATTTGATGCCTTAGTTTCCTGGTTTGTGAGATGAGAGTAATACCTCTTTGGCTTGCTTTCAGGGACTAGTGGGTAGATTTTGCAGGGCCAAGTCTATGATGTGACCAAGATTTCCAGGAACATGATAAACCTGAATGAAATACAATCCTCCCTCTGTTATCAGCAGGGAATTGGTTCCAGGAGCCCCTGCAGATACAAAAATCTGTGGACGCTTAACTCCCTTGTATAAAATGGTGTAGGACAACAAATACAGTGGGCCCGAGGTATCCAGAGGTTTCACACCCACAGAGAGAGAGGGTGGACTGTTCACTAGTCTGAGCCCAATGAAATACTGCAAAATCCTGTCTACCCCAGGAATGCTCCAGAGCTGCAGGACATGCACACTGAAGCTATGAAATGACATTGCTTGCAAAAGACAAGTGCAGAATGGTTACAGAGCTGGCAGGTGGCTTGGGAGCTGCAAGTAATTGTGAAGAGCTCATGATCCTAGGGGCTGGGGAACCTGCAGAAGTGGCAGACAGGGAAGCAAGGGCACACACTTGTCAGTCTGGGGCCTTTATTCCCTGATGCTATAAAAGAGGAGATAAATGTATCGTCAAAGGGGATGAAAACTCAACAGCTATACAATTCTAGAAGAATGTATAGTTTTAAAATATCTAGGAAAATAATATGTTTCTCCTTTCTATTTATTTATTGTTAATACAAAAGTCCATCTATTCATTGTCAAAATAATCAATAGAGATGTAGAATTAGAAAGCGACAGTCCGTCTTTGATCTGCTCCTTCCGTAACGCACTCACTAAACTCTAGCTCCCAGGCACATACTCTTGTGTGTCTCCTAAAACTTTTTTCATTAAGT